ACATTATTGTTTGGATTTTGTTCTGCAGTTTTTGCATTTAACCTTTCTTCAAGTTTTTATAGTACTATAATTAAAAAAGCAGAAGGAAGGACATATAGTGAATACAAATACAGATATTTTTCTTATAGTCCGGTTTGAATTTGTATTCCGTTTGCAGATTTGTGATACAATATTGGGCGATACCTTAAAATCTTCATAATACCACATAGATTCCGAGAATCGATGGGCCCTCTCTCGCAAATGCGTTTGAGGGAAGAAACAACCCCATCTATACACCCCCTTATAAAATAATGTAAATTCGCTTAATAAAATGTATTGAATATATTTTAATTTTAACAATGAGTATTTTCTAATACAAAACTGTTTTTGGAACTTGTAAATACTTCCGATTGTTCCACCCCTAGGTCATTGGGGGTTGAAAATATACGATTACGCCATATAATCAATGCCTAACCTATTTATATATAGTTAGTTTTGTTTTAAATTGTAATAAGTAATAAAAAAACCTCTTGGCTATATAAGTGTTGATGTTTATAGAAACACTGATGAATGTTTATATAGATGTTCATTAATATTTATATATCAAATAAAATAGAGATAGCGAAACGGTATATAAATGTTTGTTAAATGAGGCATTTTTGCAGATACATGGAGAGAGCAAAGAGGGGTGCAGTCCCTAAATGTTACAATTTTATCCAACAGTATAACACTTGTCATCCGATGAGTCCTATCCAAGCTGGTTTCCTCTACAAAACCGACATTTGCACAAGAATCAACGTTTCCCTCACATGCACACATCTCTGTGCATACCACACGTAAAGTGGCACATTTGCAGCGTTGGGAGTATTTAGTTTTGGAACATGAGCATAACACTAAATTTAACACTTCATCAGGGGCGCACGGAAAATCACATATTATGGGTTCAAATTCACATTAACCAATTTCCACACATATTCAGCTGCTGGTGGTAAACAAGGATTGGGAAGTATGTATCTATACCATTCCATGCATTGATTATGGCATCTCAGTATTGCTGGTTTCAGAGCTGCTAAGGTTGGTGGCATATTATCACTGGCACTTTGTTATAGGCTAAAGATCCACCATCTCAGGTCGGATAACTTGCTAAAGCTTTTCTTTGTTGGTGAATACACGTAGCAAATAAAAGATTCGATTTCTTCAATAACAGATTCGGCTAATATTTCATTTTTTCCAAGAGCAGCTAACGCCTAAAGTGTAGATGGAGAAGCTGTTAGAAACTTTTTCCAAAAGCTAATTTTTGAAGAAAACTACATTCGCATGTTCTTACACTTTATTTAAGCAATGAAGTTGTGCTTACTTTAGTTATTTATTAAAATTATTTATTTATTAAAACATAAAAAGAAAACTTCTTTATTTTAGGGGTGACATATTATTAGGGGTGAATACCACCCTCTGATACTCCAGTGTAAATTTTAATTTAGATTTATTTTAAAATTTGAAACATGAAAAAAATATAGTATTTTTAAGTAACACGCATACATTAAAAGTTACCCCTTTACGTCGCAAGGGGTAATACTCACCCCTTGTCACTTTTTAAACCATATTTTCTGTTATCTTAAATCAAAAAAAGAGTTTTTAAAATTATGCAACAATTTGTTTCCATAATTATATTTAATTTAATTTTTGTTCCTTTAGGGGTGTTAAAGGGGTAAAATATACCCTCTGCCATATTTTCTAGAGAGGGCCCATCAATATTCATATTCTACAAGGTGTTCTGAAAATTTTAAGGTATGGCACAATATTGTATCACAAATCTGCACACGGGATCCCATATTTGACAAATTGAAACCGGACTATTTTGCGATTTTATAATGATTTATTATACGCATTACAAAGATGATTTGTTTTAGGAATAAATGTAATAACAGCCACTACCCATATTCAACAGGAAACCAAAGAAAAATGTTACCAGCAGCAGCTGTGTGTTTTTATCTTTTTTCCACAATGGAATACATGTTTTTATGTTTTAATTGTGTTATACTAAGTAAATAAGAATGTTTTAATTATTTTACCCAGAAGCTTTGATTGGCGTTGTTGACAGGTAACTAGTTCGAACTTTCTATACAGATAGCGCTAAATCGAAACATTTTGGAAAAGAGTTTAACATTTATTGTCGATTCATTTTCGAAACGCGAGTTTCTCTCTTTTTAGACACGAATATGATATATTTTAGATTATTTGTCTCCGACACCATGTCAAATTTATAAAATAATGAATTAAAATTTCGCCATGTTGTCTAGTGATAGCGTTTTTAACTAATGTTTTTATCGGCTGTTGAGCTCTTAAACTCAGAAGAAAGCGTTCTACTTACATGAATTTATATATTTTTATTCTCAGAACCCTGATATAGAATTAAAAATAAAAATCTATATTTCAAACAAAAATATATTCTACCAACAAATAATGATTAATTAAGGGGCATTAAAAATATGAAAGTACATTAAAAAAATTGGTCAAGTGCCAGTCGGACTCGCGCACGAAGGGTTCCCTACCATTCATTATCTATACAACATTAGACACTATATTATTATAAACTTTTTTTCCGATTTAGCTGAAATTTTGAATGCGCGTATAAGTAAATAAAAAAAATTAAGAAACGCGTTATTAAAAATTGTATTAATCAATAATAAATATGTAAAAAGTAAAAATAAATAAAAACGATTAAAAAAAGTCGCCTTGATTAGGATTCGAACCTGCCTTACTACGGCTCCAACGTCATAGCAGCGTAAAGTCCTAACGCTTTAACCACGCGGCCACCGAGGACTTGAAGGATTCTATGTAAAATTCTTACTTAAAAGATAATGTTTAGTGAAAGTACTTTTTTATTTATAAACATTTATTTAATTCTGTTTTTAGTATTTGTTCTTATAGCGGCAACATAGATACATTATCTGTAAAAATTTCAACTGTCTAGCTATAACGGTTCATAAGATAGACCTTTGTGATAGACGGATTGACGGACGGACGGACAGCGAAGCTTAGTAATAGGGTTCCCGTTTTTACCCTTTGGGTACGGAACTCTAAAAAAGCATAGATATTAATTTTAGGCGAGAGCTGCAACTCAACGTCACCGAGTATCTTCTCAATATGAATTTTCGCAAGCACAAATAGTTAATAGATTACCGAAATATTAGTTATATAGGCAGCCATCTTTCGCCAAAATTAATTTTACTTTAAGTTAAAAAGTAATCTAAAAGTTAGGTAAATTAGAGTTCAGACTGAAAATTAAAAAAATACTTTCAGCGCAATTAGGGGCCCCCGTTTAATGTTTTCGACTAAATTTTCAGTCATTTCAGGAAATTCTTTCCAACTCTAATTTCAATTTTCTAACTTCCGCTATCCATTTTCGAATATCGTATTTTAACAGAGTCGAAAAAGAATTTTCGAAGAAGAAGCATTCGGGAAGGATGCAAATAACAAAACACTGTTAAATATTTATTGAAGCCTTGCCGATGTGGATGCTTCTGTCATTCTGGTTTTGAAACTGAATTTTGACCGGTAAATGGAGAAAAAATAAATGGAATGTCAAATAAATTGTAGACAACGAGTTACATATCTGAAGTAAAATTGAAGAACTGAAACAGAAATTGCTTTATTCATAAAATACATTTATGCTGAAATTCTTAAATTAAGTAAAGTAAGAGAGTAAACACTTTTTTTTACTCTCTAGTTCCTATCCGGGAGCCCGGGGTTCAAATCCCTCTGGATTATTTTATTTTATTTTTTTCATTTTGTTTTGATTTTATTTGATTTTTTGTTCGTGTTTGTTTTTATTGACAAACATTTGCCGGTCATTTCAGCCTCATCTCAGTGTTTCAGTCTCACCGTTTTCAGCCTCTTCAGTTTTAATATGTAAAATGTGAACCTGTGTGTGGATTGACTTTTATTGTAAGTTACGACGACCTTTTTATTTATTTCTGTTCTTTCTTGTTAGGTCTGATGATGCTTGTATGAGCGAAACAGGTGTCACTGTGTAATTTAATATAAAAGTTGAGACCCAGACTTTGAGTCTTTTTTGTACTTTTTTAAGAGATAACTTTGGCAATCATAGCCAACAATAGACAACAATGGGCCCAACTACAAAGAGAGTATCTAAATATGTGAGGGAGGCTACACCATAATTGAAAATAGTTGAATAAGCTGAAAATGATGATGATGATGACGATGAGGATAATATAAACTGAATCAACACAAAATCATATAATAATTCTTAGTTGTCAATTTAAAAATACAATGCCTATATGAAAACTTTTTCTCGGTGATACAGCAACAACATTTTAATAAAGTTATTAAATATAACAAATTCAAAGCCATTGCTTGTGCATAAAATTTATTACTTTTGTGTCTAAAGAATAATATAAATCCAGTGCTTAAGAACGAAAGTCATAACAGAATCTCAGTAATAAATATCATATATCATTAATTGGTAATAACAGACAAAAAGGCATTTTTTGTATTGTATTGGAATTTAAAAATTAAAATTTAAAAAGTAAGATTTAGAAAAATATTTGGAAAGAACCTTTCTAAAGTGGAAAACCCCATAGAGAAGTATATCTCTACTACCCAAAATGAAACTACTATTACAAAAGTAACACTATTCTACCACAACCCTGCAAATCACTTTAATTTGATTTCTCGTTTTGATCGGTCGTTTGTTTTGATAAGCATGTTAGTATCATCAGTAGATATTGTGAAACTCCAATTTTCAACGTAGCTTCACCAAAAGAATTTGATGAAGCAACGTTGATCATGCAGCTTCATGATAAAAACATCAGTTTTACTATGGCCTTTTTGCTAACCATGTTGTAATAATAATCTATCTTGATATTACCTCTTCAGCAAAGTTGATAATAGAAACTTTAATTTATACACCGTAAATATATTCTAAGGATTCGTCATTGGAAAGTTTAATTACAGTAAAAAAATTGAACTAAAATATAAATTATTGCCTAATGACTAACCTTCTGGATCCTCTTCCGACAGTAATTTTTCCAGTTCCTTCTCGTCATAGGAATGTCCAAGGGTGGTTAGAATTGTTCTCACTTTTTCTTTCTCTATTGTCCCCCTTTTTGTTGAATCGAACATAGAAAACGCCCGCTTCAGCACTGAAAATAAGTAGAAAATAATTAAAAAAAACAAACAAAAAAAATAAAACAAAAAAAAATAAAAATAAAAAGAGAAACACAAAAAAAAGATAAAACATAAAGATAAAAATGCGTGTTTCGGCACTGAAATCTCGATTATATAGCAGTAAAATTATTTATGAATGTAATCTAAGCCATTCGTTTTTTCTAACTCCTAATTCGAATTTCATTTTATAGGTTATAAAATGGCGTTTTCTGTTTCCCGTGGTCGCGGGTTAATTTTTACGAGTAAAAATCATTGCTGGGCGGGTTCAATAATTAAATTTCATTTTTATATAGCTACAGCCTTTACGACAGGCGCTGAATTTTACGATATCGCTTTACGAGGGCAATAATTTCCGAGCTCTTGGCTTAGAATGTCGACGCTTTCATTCTCACAAATCTGCTAAGGATAATGGCTTAAAATGCCTCGCATTTCAAGATATTCAAGTTATTTAAGCTGCACAAAGTTTTAAACCTTTATAACTTTTTACTATTAAAAACAATATTTTAATAAATACTTAATGTACAGGGTGGCGCCTCTCATACGCCGCGGAAGCTCCAAGGAGAACGGTAGTTTATATCGGAATGAAATTTTGGCAACATATGTAGGTTAACTAAAAGCATTTTATAAAAATATATAAATTTACACAGGGTGTCCCCAAAAAAAGTTACACATCAAAGTTTTGTTTTTTCTAATGGAACACCCTATATATTCATTCATTTTCGGATTCTAGGAAAAAAATAAAGGTCAGTTTTATTAAAGAAGCATATACCTAAAATTTAAGGATTTTGACATACACGCACCGGAAAAATCTAGGGATATCATTTTATTAAAGTTAAAAATAAATGTTGTGAATAAACAACCACATACTTGTAGGCCGATTCTTTCTACTTCGATTGAAACGAAGTAGTCACACTAGTTATTTCTAAATTTGGGATATTTGCAGAAGTGTTTGTGCATTTTTTGTCAAATGTATAAAAAGTACCTAGCATCAATTGTTCGAATTTAACCTGTACTGGCTATGTTTTTATGATAACTGGCCAGAATTCATTCAAATAACTCTGTTTAGTATTAAACGACATTATGGAGCATAGACATCTTAACAGAGACGAAATGCTAAGGGCCATGTGTATGCTCGAAGCTGGAATGCGCCAAATGGACGTAGCTAGAGCATTAGGCGTAGCTAGAGCATTAAATACAACGCAAAGTGTAATATCGCGATTAAGTGCACGCTACCGGAAAGTGGTGATGTTGCTGAAAGGCACACAGGGCGACATCGCATTACTACCCTTCAGCAAGATCATTTTTTACAATTAAATGCTCGACGCCGACCGACTCTTACAGCACCAGAGCTTAGTTTAATTCTCCAGGAAACACATAATGTAACCGTTAGTCTTGACACTGTCCGCAATAGATTAAGAGAGGTCAACTAAAGAAGCAGACGCCCCTGGAGAGCTCAACCCTTAACGAGAGGAAATCGAGAGGTACGATATTTGTGGGCTCAAGATCATGTTCAGTGGTCGAATGAACTCTTCACAGATGAGTCACGCTTTGGAATTCATCCGGATTCGAGAAGGCTTAGGGTATGGAGAGAACCGGGAAATCTTATTCGGTTGGATCATGTTCAGGAAGTGCACCCTTATCAAGGTGGAACCAGTTATGGTCTGGGAAGGAGTCCAGTTAGGCCGAGAAACCGATCTCGTTTTTCTTGAAAGGTTTCTAACAGGAATCACATATCGTGATTTAATTCTTGAGCCTGTCGTGTTACCATATGCCAATGATTTTGGAAGAAACATCATTCTCATGCATTACAATGCACGGCCTCATACAGCCAGAGTGGTAAGTGAGTTTATCAATGCTCATCAATTAAACATCTTACCCTGGCCGACACAATCTCCTGACCTCAACCCCATCGAGCACGTATGAGACGCGGTCCAAAGAAGAATTTTGAGAATGGGTATGCCTCGTGAAACTCGTAGAGATCTGGTTCGGGCCGTGAATGCAGCGTGGCAGGCTGTACCTCAAGAAGAGATCGACAACCTGATCAGGAGCATGGAGAGACGATGTAGGGTTGTAATGAACAGTAGAGGAGGCCATACCCTTTATTAAGTAAAAATGGTTTTTTCTTTTTTTTTAATTCACAGTTTAGAATAAAAAAAATGTGTGTATTTTTTTGAATTCAATAAAAATCAAGATAAATTTGAAAAAATTCGGTAAATTAAAATTCGGTAAAAAAATAAAATTACTGAAGATGGCTGGATAAAACTGTAATATCCTTAGACTTTTCCGGTGTGTGTATTTCACATTTTGTAAAAATGAAAAGTAAATTTTAAATTTCGATAACAGCTACCTAAATTTTAGTTGTATAGCTTGATATTTAATTACAGTAGCCATTGTATATTAAACCAAATTGAAATTTTACCCGAAAAGTGATATATATTTATATATATTATACAGGGTGAGACAAAATTAATATCGAACATTAGTCACTTTTAAAAGCAAGTTACTCTTTTATTTTAAATGGAACACCCAGTATATTTTTCCGGTATTCAATGGGGAATGTATATATCTTTAAAATATTATTAAGGTTGCCTACCCTGCGGACAAAGATTCTTTAACAAGGCAATTTTATTTAATCTATTATAAATAATTAAATTCTATAAAAAACAACAAAATGTGCGTTTTTATTTTGTTTATAATATTTTATAGATTAATTAGTAATTTATATAACATTTACCATTATTTTCCGACAAATAAGTATTTATTTCAAGCTAAAGAAAATATTATTCTTCCCATATCTTCCGAAATCAAAAATCTTCCCAGATATATTTATAATGAAATCCAATTTATATTTAGCAATTATCGTATTAATGAAAAAATGTAACACTCAGAGTATCCAGTCTAATTATAGCGAGTTTCCGTTAAATTTTGGATTTATTTATGATCGACGAAATTTTTGGAATATAGAGCAACTTCAAACCCGAAAAGATTGTGGGATATATGCTTAATGTAAAATTAAAAATTAATAATTTAATAAATACTTACGATGCAATTGTTCATCTTCCGCTTGAGCCTAAAAATAAGAAAAAAAAATTATATTAATATAATAATAAACAATACATATATTCACATTTTAAACGTATTCTTTCCTACGTGAATTAAATAAAAAAATCTCCATAGGCCAATATAATGGCCTATGGATTTTTATATGATTTAATGGATTTTTTATATGACTAGCCTGTACCAGCGACTTTGTTCGAGTTGAATTAATCATTTGTAATATTGCTGATAAAGCAAAGTAAGAATTTCCATTAACATACCAATTGGATAAAATTTTCTCACATTTATGTCAGCATGAGAAAAAATAATATGGCGATATTATTATATAACTTGGTAATATTTGAAGGTTAGTTTCATCTCGTTGGAATTTGATTTTCGAAAAATCCGTTTGCCAAAAATAAGTTTTTTACGTCAAGCAGTTTAAGCAGAATCGTGGTTCAGAAATTACCCAACTTTTTGGAACACCCTGTATAATTTTTTAAAAAATTTCAAAATATGTAAAAAAAACTAATAAATTATGCTTGTCCAAGCGTTTTCCCGAAAGACTAACCGTTTTTTAAATAACAAATATTGTAATTTTTGAGGGGCGTTTTCACCCTCTTGGAATTTGAGATTCGAGAAACCCCTCCTTATCGAACCTCTACACCCCACAGTCAATCCATTTGCCAAAAATCAGCTTTAAACGTCAAGCAGTTTAAGCAGAATCGTGATTACTCAATGGTCATATTTTATGGAACACCCTGTATAAATTTATGAAAATCTTAAAATATGTAAAACAACAAAATAAAATATACGTGTTTAAGAGTTTTTCCGAAAAACTCACCGGTTTTTAAATAAAAAATATTTTAATATTTGAGGGATAGTTTCACCCCCTTAAAATTCGAGTTTCGAAAAATCCCTTCTTATCGAACCTCTACACCCTAAAGTCAATCTGTTTTCCAAAAATCAGCTTTTTACGTTAAGCGCTTTAAGCAGAATCGTGATTAATCAATGACCAGATTTTTCGAAATACCCTGTATACATTTTTAAAAAATCTTAAAATATGTAAAAAAACAAAATAAAATATACGTGTTTAAGCGTTATTTCGGAAACTTAACCGTTTTTTAAATAAAAAATATTGTAATATTTGAGGGGTGGTTTCACCCTCTTGGAACTGGAATTTCGAAAAATCCCTTCTTATCAAACCTCTACACCCTAGAATGAACCTGTATACCAAAATTGAGTGGTTTGAGCAGGATCGTGATTAATCAGTATGTCAGTCACTTAAGGATTTTATATATTAGTATAGATTCAATAAGCTTTATCTAATAACACAGAACACAGTATATTGTAAAATAAAACACAGAAATCACCACAATACGTGTTTTATTTTGCTGTTGTAACACCAAAGGTTCCAAAATATGTTTTTATGAAAAATAACAAAAAAACACGTTAAGAGAAGCAAAAATGGAAAAATACTTCTATTATTAGAATATGACACAGCGAAATCTGGAAAAATTGAGGTCTATGTGGGATAAGATCCTCCTGCCATATCTTGCATTTTATAGATATTTGATTCAAAAATCTGACAAACAGGACTTCAGCAGTGAAATATTCGAGAGATTTGCAGTCTTTTCTTTATTAATATTTTTTTTTGTTTGGTTTGCAAGTTGAGCTTTTTAAACGATTTTTTTTTTTCTAACAGATCAAACCAATTAAATTTTAATTTGAAGATATAATTATATTATTCAAACATTAAACATTAATCAAACTGAGTTAAATTAAAGGATATTCAGTCAAACAAATGTAGTTCTTGAGAGAAGATTATATTTAAATTATCAGTCAAATTATTATACAGTATGTCCCCGGATTGTCTTATAATGTTTTTTAAACATTACCACTGCGAACGGCAGCTTTTCATCGGTAGAGCAGTCGTGGATATGGAAAAAACTAATTAACAATAAAAAATCAAAAATAGCATATTGGGCGCCAGGCATGAACATAGAAAGAAAACACAGTTGTATATTACTTAAAATTAATGACTAATAATATATTTAAAAATTAATATAAATAATAAAATAAATATATTTATTCACGATGTCGATAGTAAATGACATTGTAGAACTCTAGTAATTATAGTGGTTATTTGTTAAAGAAAGTTATGTTAAAAATAGTACTAAACATGTTTAATGAAAAAGACTATAGAAAAATACAATATAGATTAGGCCATAGAAAATATATAAAAAAGTAGCATTACTTTATTAAATTTGTTATATTTTATGCAATATAAATCCGAGATTTTGCAAGCCGTAGATCCTAGAATCTATGTCATATCTATGTCCGGTAATTCATCTGTCAAAATGACGCTATTTATATATAGAAAGTAATACTATTACAAGACGTAATGTTCGCAAAGAAACTAAGATCTAAATCATATTTTAAATACTAATCTGACACAAGTAATTTAACCACTAAGCGTAAAGTCTGTATGATATTATTCAAGACTGAAAATGTAAACATAAAAACCAGAACTTAAATCTAAACTTAGCTGATTATTCTTGAGGCAATCATGCTTCAAACAGTACAGCGCCAGCGTGAGTTAGGTTTGTATCTCTGTTCTCTCTGTCGGCTTCGTTGTTGGCCAATACAACAAAAAGGGGCCAGATTGAGGACACCATGAACCAAAATAGCCGTAACTATCAGCTAAGCTTGAAAATAAGAGCAAAGCAGCATGGAGCTTACGCTACATCCATACTGGGACAATCTGTACATGAGACAAACCATGCACACAGTGGACACTCGACATCCTTACATAGGATAATGTCCGTACTTTGGAATACTACCCGTACCTTGGAACACTACTAGGACCTTGGATAATGCCCGTACCTTGGACGTACCTTGGACCCTAAAAACACGGAACTATCGTTTAGAACCTACCAGTGTAATAAACACAATAAACATACCTCGAAATACTTCCGAGGGCTCTATAATAAACAAAGGCAATTGTCCTTTCTTCCATTTAACATTCTGGAGGACAAAAGCAAAACAACACCAACGTGCCAGCAAAACACAAATACGAGTTAAGGTGGGCCAATTCAAAATTCTACCCTAAAAATACTCAGTAATAATAGCAAATCCATAAAAGATAATATGATTCAGATTAAGCAGCAAGTTTTAAATTACCATTTCTAAAAGCCGGGTTGATGGCAACCGACCGGCCAAACCACAAGTGAGGTTATATTGCCGAGAGCGGAACCTTGAAGCGATGTTGACAGCCCTCCACAGAAGCAGTGAAGCTATAACAGGGTTGTTGACTAGAGAACGTAAAATTTACGCCAAGTGTTTCAAATAAAATATCAGGCCTGAGCGATACGGAATCCGGTGACGATACGCCAGACATGAAGAGGATTTTTTTTTATTATTGACATTTTGAGAAAAATGCATTTTTCATAAAAAAATTTGCTTATTCTAAAATGGGTAATCCCGTTTAAACTTTTCCAAATTTCAATACCGTTTTGGAAAATTAAGAAAAATATAAAAATGTAGTTGAATTTTTTCCTGAAGTCCTAAAAATCAAAAGGTCTTTCTATGGAAATATCAATTCGATTTCTTTTTTTTTATGTTTTTCTTAATTTTCTCTAAAACGGTATGCATTGGAAAAGTATAAACGGGATTAACAATTTTAGAAAAAGCAAAAATTTTTATGAAGAATGAGTTTTTTTCAAAATGTCAATAATAGAAAGTGTTCCCTCTTGTAAAGACATTCCGGGGATATACTGTAGATTTTTTATTTATGATTTTTTTCCTCTAGTAGGTAAAGCATGTTTGCCGGTCAGCTGAAACTCAGGTATTGAGCAAGAAATTACTTTGGACAGCTACATAATCCCACCACTGGTTTTATATTCATCTCTGTTTTTTCTATTACTTTTTTATCCTCTGTTGATAAGTTCTGTTGTTAATAAAAAGCAGTCCGAGTAAATCGTACTGATGGAAGTATGTCAATAACATCTTTTAATATAGGAACGGTTAATTCTGTGAATACTAAAACGTTTATTAAATTACACACTGACCCTGCCTGCTGCGATCAAGAATGCATTGCAACAGTTTCAAAACACAAATATATTTCGGTAGTGAATTTAAATTAAACTTTGCCTTCGACACCAACTTTGCCTAAAATACCTAAACTGATATATTTGTTTTCGAAAATTCAATTTTAACAGAATGTAAATTATTTCCCAACTAGTTATCGTAGCTATTAAAGTTAGAATGAAGAGCTCAATTTTAATGAGTCGATCCGTTTAATATTGCATTTATAAAGTTTCAGGGGAAAGAGAAGAATATGGATATTTATTTGAAAATAAAACAAGTTTTCTGTTTTTACAGTACTGTTATTAATGGGTTTTAGAATTTTGATTGATGAATGTTGCAAATCCAGTCCTGATTGGATAAAAATCATATATCACAAATTCATTATGTTTTACGTGAGTTTAATAAATTGTCAGAGCAGGTGTATATAGCATAACTGGTATTTTTACACAAGTTGATAAAAAAAATGTTACCTTCTTGATATCGATGAAATTCATTGGAAAGAGAGTGTATATAAAGAAGCCGTTTTTGTATCAAACTCTAACAACATTAAATTAAAACACTAATTCACTATAATTCCCCAAAACGGCCCAAAGGGTCCCAACTGGCAAAGGAGTACGACAGGGAGACGTGATATCCTCAAAGCTGTTTACAGCAACATTAGAAGAAATATTCCGTCAACTGGAATGGACCAACAAAGGATTAAAAATAGATATAGGGATATATCTTAACAATCTATGATTCGCTCATGACATACTGCTAATTACCAATAGTCCTGAAGAACTACAAGCACAAATAAATGAACTAAATACAGCCAGCAATAAAGTGGATCTCAAAATGAATCTAGCAAAAATTAAAGTGATGTGAAAGAAGCTAGTGGAAAGAAAGGACATTTTAATAAATAATACAACGCTGGAAATAGTAGAAGAATATGTATATTTGGAACAA